AACCCGGGGAACCCAAAAAACCCCAAACCCCCCCCCCCCCCCAGCCCTCCCTTTTAATTGCCTTCCCCGAGGTCGGTATTAGGAGAGTGCCCGACCCCCTCCCCCGGCGCTTTCCCGAAGTTGGATCAAGGAGGTTTCGGGGGAAAGACGAGGAGAGGGGGAGAGAGAGAGGAGCGGGATGGGCTTCGTGATTTTTAAGGGAACAATGCAGAGTAAAAGCTCTCTTAAAAGCCAAAACACGTAAAACAAATCCTTTCTTAATCTCCTTACCTTATCATTCTGGTATGCGGTCACTGCGATGAATTCAGTCTCCGGGAAAACGTAGGTCCTGAACGTGCTGTAGGGAAGCTTGAGAATATCGTTTGCTCGGACGATGTGGAACCGGGGCTGGTACTTGTGCATGGAGTTTAAAATGGTCTGGGGGGGGCAGCGGCCGGCAGCAGAGAGGGCAGAGGGGGGGAAAGGAGAGGGTCAGCTGGAGCAGCACCCCCGCCCCGCGCTTCCCCCAGCCACCGGCACTTTCTCCTCCTAATTTGCCTTCCCTCTCCTTCCTCCCCTCACTCCTCCTCCCCGCTGAGCACACTCCAAACACACGCACACTCCTTGCAGCATCCAACAAAAAGCACTGACAGCTCCGGCTCGTCGGGGTTAGGCTGGACCTCTCGGAGGGGAGAGGGGGGGGAAATCCCAGCAGAGCTCTCCTAGGAGAGGGGAAGAAGCTCTTTGGGGCTCCGGCCGCGATGTCTTTTGATTTCAACGTGAAAAAAAAAATTAAAATCAAGTCAAGAAGCAGCAGCAGCTACAATAGCAACACCACCGCGAGGGCCTGGGTTAGGTCTAATTGCTTGCCCCAATCCACTTAAGGCCTTCTGCGAAAGGCAAAAATGTATCGTCTAATCAAATCACAGCCAGCAAATGCAATGTTCGGCACATTAGAGATCCCCCGGCCGCGGCCACCACCAGCAGCCCCCGGCTCTGAGGCGGAGGCTTTCCCAGGAATAGAAAGAAATGGCAAGGATCGTCCCAGCACTTATCAGCAGGTTTGTTTGATTTCACTCTTAGGGTAAGTTTTTATCTCTGCACACCCAGTAAATGTAAAGGAGTGGATAGACATGAATGGGCAACTTGACCTCTGATTTCGGTCCCTGTTTATTTTCACTCCGGCTTGCTTTACATTATCCAGATTAATATATATTTAAATGTTTGCGTACTTAGGCCTTTAAGCCCTTTATACACATATGCGTATCATTTCCCTACGCTTAAAAAGCGTAATCGACTTTATTAAAAAAAAATATATAGATATATAAAGTCACCACAGCTCCGAGAAATATCGAGTTGCGCTCTGCTGGAAATATCCCTCTAAAGTGAATGCTGAATGGCACGGAGAGGTTACAGAATAAACTCGAGTGTTTAATCCTGACCTCAGCGGTAGAAAAAACCCACGGAAGATTATAAAGCGGCCCCGGTGTGTTGGAGGGGGTGTTTATTCCCCCCTTTCCCCGCGTTTCTGCCGCCGGCGGGAGC